GAAAGACACCATGCTAGATAAATTATTTCTTACATTAAATATTTTTGATGTGATGCTAACTCCCAAAACATTGTTTTTCTCTATTGGATTCTTTTCCTCCTTTCTTTTTCAGCTTTTTCCTCCAAAGGCAGATAATATCTAATAATAAAATTTAAATGAATTATTATATATAACAGATTTAAATGACAGTACCATTCCTATAAATGTCACCTTTACTGTGAGAAATTAAAAAGCACAAACAAGTTTGTAGCTTTTATTTAGTGACATAAGCCCTTATTTGATGTGATAAATGGAAAAATAAATGGACTGTGCTATACTCTAACTTACCCACACAGCTGAAGAAATTTATGACTAATTTCTTAAACCACTTATTAAACCAAATTAATTATTTTGAGTCTCACAGATCTAATGTAATTTTCCAAGTAATTAAAAATGGGGTAACATCTCAACTAATGTGCACCTAAAAACAGCAAGCAAATAATCTTAGTTGAAGCACAGCTAGTTACAACATCAAGTAGCTATTCCCCTTCTTGGTTTCTTGGAAAAGGTTATTAAAACTGAAACACTTTCACTTGCCTTTATAGGTATAGAGGTGAAATTCAAATGCCAAAGGTCAGAGATCAGAAACAGTCACATTTTTCTTGTTGTCAGAGACTGACTTTTGGAGGGAGGGCACAGGAGAAGTAAATCACATTTTAAGTCTATACTCAAACTGTGGCATACTGTGTCCACGCTATGCTGACCTGCTATAGTTACAGCGCATCGTGATCAGCTATAATCCAAAACACGCCATACAGTAGCGCAGCAAAAACAGACTGCTGACAGGGCATTTAATTGCTCCTGACTCCCAATACACCAACTATTCCATCCATTAGATGTTGTGATAAGCCAAACTGTGATTGCAAATTAGACCCAACAATTTTAGTGTGTGTACTAATATTATGTCAGTGACTTTTGGGGGGAGGAAGGGTGAACATCAAAGCACTCAAGATTCTCATAAAGCAGAATCAGATCTAAGAGAAGCTGAACTGAGATTCCACGTGTAAATGTGTTTTAGAAACGGGAACCTAACAACAGTCATAGTGCTTACAATTAACTGCATCATCACTGTGCCCTAATAGAAACCCTCTCCTCAAAAGTAACTTTTAATTAGGCCACCTCTGCATCTTAGATTTAAGGAAGTGGAGACTTAAAGGAGTTCAGGTAAACTGTAAATGGCCTAATCAAGTTATCTTCTGTTTAAATGATTTCTGAATGCGGTGTGAATGTGTGTGGCACTACCAGTCAGAGATGCTGTAAAACGGCTTCTGAATGAGGTGGGAGATGAGGCAGACACTTAAGAAATCAATTCCAACCTAACAGAGACCATAATGGTCCAGAGCGTATATGGGCTATATTGATGAAAAACACTTTCAGGACCCTGTTCATCCACATGTCCACACGCCCAAAAGCATCTCACACTCGTCATCTGCCAGGCAGCGGTCCTGCACAGTTGTCATAGCTTGCACACAAGCAACAAAATTCACAAAACTGGTGTCAGCAGCCTGGAAAAATCCCAGGAACAACAGCAGAGCAATCACTGAAGGAATGCTGTGTCTCCACAGAACGATGATACTGCGTGGAAAAACACGGACATCAAGACCCTGAGTCACAGCGTGATTCAGAAAAATTAGACTCAGTGTGAACAGGTTTTGAGAGTCCCTTAACCCTGGGTTTCTCACGATCAGCACTATAGACATTTTGAGCCAGATAATTCTTCTTTGTTTTTTGTGTGTTGGAGGCGGGGATGGTTCAGGTTTATCCTGTGCATTACAGAATGTTTAGCAGCATCCCTGGCCTCTACCCACTAGATGCCAACAACACCTAACAAGTTGTGACAGCCAAAAATGTCTCCAGACATTGTCATATGTCCCCTGGAAATCAAAATCTCCCACAGTTGACAACACTTCCTTAATCTACTTATTTTGCTTACATTTTCCTTTTTATGAACACACATGTGATGTTTTTAACAATTCAACGTCAGTCTTACTGAGCTCTTTCAATGAGAAAATACTAAGAGATAAACTACTGTGTTATTATTTGCAGCAATTTCTTTCTTAGGGGTAGACCATATACAATGCTTCTTAAAATCGATGACATCTTCAATTCGATGAAATTCAGCCACCCACCATCCGTTCCACTTCATTACAGAAACACCATCCTGATTTCCTTTGGGGGAATGACTTCTTTCCCACTGTGTAAATTTTAGGAGTACCCAGTTCCTCCTTACCTAGGGGTTCTCTTGTCTTCCTTTTGATTCTTTTGAGCTATCTAATATGCTTCTAAAAATTTCCTTGCTTTCCAAGAGTTAAGTTCCAGTCTTTCTTTCAAAAAAACCTACGTGAAGCAAGGTCCTTATTTAAGCAAGGCTGACAGAAAATATTTCAGAATACTTCCCTGCCATGAAGCTCACCAACCTATTAAAAATGTTACTGCTTCCCCATATCACTCAGGTAGAGTGAAGGGAAAAGAACTGTTGAAACAGTGTCATGGATCATAGGGGTTTACTGTACTCTTCTCCATTTTTGAATGTGCTTTAAAATGTCCATAATAAAAAGGTTAAAAATGATAAACATTCTATAAGAAAAAATATCACAATCAAAATGATTTTCAAAGTCCTTTCTGTACAAGCTGGATTCTTTAAAGAACACGTGCCTATGTCCCAATCTTAAGTGCTTAAGAACTCACCGACAGTGATATGTGCATTTGGGGTGAAAAGAGAAGACCTAGTATGCAGGGCATGGACAAGTGGACAAGTGATGATACAATGGCACAAGGAATCATTTTCTAAAACTGGTTCTAAGGCTTTATTCAATTAGGGCAACGGATACAATAATGTATAAATGCTTTGTTTCTCCAAAAAGTTGTTTGAAAGACTGCACAGAAAACTTCCTTAATGCTTTTTTCTAAAGTTTCTTCTCTGGTTGAAAAAAGGAAGCAAGAAAAAAAAATAGCTATTGACTTTTCTAAGAACTATCTTATACATAAACACACACATTTTGCCAAGATTTGACAGCTGGAAGTTTTCATGAAGAAGGTTTCAAACAAAACATTTTTAAAAAAGCAAAAAACAACAGAAAGACTGTACCACTCTCTGCTCTCCTTAAAGGTGACAGAAAAATTCTTTATCAATAGTCATCTGTCCAAGGTTATAGCTAGGCTGCCAAGCCCAGCCCACATGTTATGAAACTGGCTCTCATTGGCACCTTTTATTCCTCTCATCTGCCCTCTACCTTTCATAGAACAGGGGAGAGAAAATGGGAGCTAAATTAACGGTGGAGGGAAAAAAAAACCAGCACAGTGAGAAATATTGTAACAAAAGGCTATAGCATAGGGGGAGAAAAGAAGACAAAAAAATCCTATGTGAAATATAATAAGCAAGGTAAATATGAAAGTCTAACCCAAAAAAATCCTTATTAAAACAAAATTCAATTAAAAATAATAAAATTTCAAAGACAAGGAATTCTACCATAACATATTGATTTTCTTTGCTTCTTAATGAAAATAATCTGAATTTTTTTGAATATTTAAACTTCACTATGTAATTATATACTTCATCAACCTAACCCAATTAAATAATTATAAAGTGCTGCATGGGATACTACTGAAATATGCGTAGACCCTTTTAGCTGCGCTAATTACATCCTGATTTTTAGCCATGAGCCTTCTCTATTACTGAGAAAATGGTGGTCTTAATTTAAAACTCATGTCCTGTTCCAGACATTTCAGGCCTAGCCTAGCACTCCATCAAAAGAAAAGAGATATTAGAGAATTTCACAAACCTCTCACTTTAGAGGTGAATTATTTAAGGCCCAAAAAAAGTTAAATTATACGCTGAAGGCCCTATAGCCAGTGAAGACTAGAATCCAATTCAAATATTCTTTACATTTAGATCTCTCACGCAAACTAGTTAAGCAATCCAAAACACTCATACACGCTCAGCATCTACTGGTGGTAGTCACTGTGCACATGAAAGACATTTACATAACCGTATAATAATAATGCTTTGTGCTATCTGCAAATTTCAGAAATACCACAGATGGGAAGCACTTGACTCTATCTTGGATTAAAACATATCCCCATGTATTTATAAATAAATATATGCTTTAAGTCTTCAAACAGTTGTACTTTAACCAAATAAAATTATCTATGCTATTGTGAATGTTGCTTTTTTCCAGTTTATAACCTTTCAACATCTTTTTGAATCTGCACATAAGGGTCTACTTGACTGTCTGATATTCCATTGTAGGGGGATACCATAATTTATGCATCTAGTCCCCCATGATGGGCATTTGGATTTCTTCCAGATTTCTATTACAAAAACATTTTAATAAACATTCTTTTGGCTGTTATTAGAAGCAGCAGTAATGACAACAATAATATAGAAGTATGTATATTACACAGGAAAAAAATTTAAAGGAATAAAATATTCAAGAGTGGTTATCTCTGTACGACAGAATTATGGAGGATTTTGGTTTTTTCAACCTTACACGTACTGTAATGTCTGATTTTCTTTAAGTGAGCATATGACTAATGAATGCCACTTATTAACATGGGCATGCTGTATAACATATGACATTCATTATTAGCTACAATAATGTTAACCTTAATAATGATAGACAATATAACTTTCAATCATAAATACATGCATTAAAAGAAACTAGCTTGAGAAATGCCTGGAGAATCCTCAACCACTACTTCTCACATATTGAAAAAATGGGGCTCAGCTATTCATGCAACTAAGAACAACACAAGAGATATAACGGTCATTTACAATTGAGTTTGGGAAGGGGGTAACTAGAGCTTTACCAAGCACATTACAAAACCAAAAATGGACATATTCATATGTTCAGCACATTCTGAAGTTCAAACACAAATAATGAGTCTTATTACAATCATTCCTCTTTAAACATATTTCATAATGACAAGTCTGCCAAAATCTCAGACACCATGAAACTCACCGTTTCTGATTTTCAGATTCTTTCTTGGCCTGCTCCAATGCCAGCTCCTCAGCCACTCTTCTTTTCAATTCTTCATCAGAAACTAAAATCAATAAAGAGGAGAAGATAAAATGAGTGACTTCTTTAAAACAAAAGCATGAGAATACTCAGGAAAATAGAGCTGAGACTAGGTCTTAACAGACAAAGTTCTGCCAGCTGGTCAGTGTCTCCTTGAAACTACTGAAGCATGTGGAAAAGACCAATCCATGCACTTCAGGAGTAATATAATCAAGACTTCCCTGATGACCTAAAAATTTCCACATCTGCCAAAAGTTATAATAAACTCAAGGAACTGCTTACTATCCTGTGGGGACTGAGCTATTAAGTACAAATTCTTTAAAATGATGTCCTACCATTAAAGTCTGACAATTGCACAGAGGGGGAGGAGAGGCTAAAAAGAAGGGACTTTAGAGAGGAAAACGACACCAAAGCATTCCCACGTTGACAATTACACCTTTTTTGAAAAATCACTTATTACAGAAAGTCATTTCTATTACATTCATTTTCCCATGATTTATGAAAAAAGAGAATTTATGAGTTACAAATATTTTAAAACCGTATTTTTTGAAAAACATGTCACTCAAATTCAAGTGCCAACAATTGGAGAGAGAGACACAGAACAGTGCTGAGAACACGGCTGGAGCCTTCTAAATACCTGGTGACTTGATTTGAAACATCTGGTCTTTCCAATTAGAAGATTTTGTACAATATGTTTTGTAAGATTCTTACAGCTATGATAGCAAATAAAATAGACAAATTTCACATACTCTTTAAGAGCACTCCATAAGAAATAAGCAGAGACTATTTTCTCTTCACTAGAAATCCACGACCCAAAATTATGATCAAGACATCACCAGAAAGAAACACTTAAGATCTAGGAATACACATAACACCTAACCAGTATTTCAAACGGTTGAGTCTAGACAGTATTGCCCCTGCTTTTCAATGGCACTTTACTTAATAATCTTGACACTATAAGCACACTACCTCAGGCAATATGCAAAAAATGAATTACAACAGGATATGCAAAAAATTTAGCTGACACTGGGCAATAACAAACAAATAAGATATATGAAAGGTCCTAAGGATGTTTTCTCTTAATTGTAGACTATCATAAAATAATAACAGCATCAAATGACATCATCAAGAAGGTGAAAAGACAACCCACAGAATGGGAGAAAATACTGGCAAATCATATAGCTGACAAGGGGCTTGTATGCAGAATATACCAAGAACTCTTACAACGGAACAATCGCACAACAGAATAAGATGACAACAAAATTAAAAATGGGCAAAGGACATCAATAGGTATTTCTCTAAAGAAGATAAATGACCAATAATTACATGAAAAATTGCTCAGTAGCACTCATCATGAGAGAAGTGCAAATCGAAACCACAATGATTTACCAATTCAAACCCACTACCATCAATAGACAATAACAAGTATCAGTAGGAATGTGGAGAAATTGAAACCTTTAGATATTGCTGGTGGGATGCAAAATGAAGTGATCACTATAAAAATAGTTTGGCAGTTTCTCAAAATGCTAAACAGGGTTACCATATGATCCAGCAATTTCCACTGTTAGGTACTATATATATTCAAGAGAAATGAAAACATATGTCTACATAAAAACTTATACATGAGTATCTATGGCAGCATTATTCATAATATCCCAAAAGTGAAGACAACCTAAATGCCCATCAACTGATGAATGGATAAACAAAATGTAGTACAGCCATTGTGTGATATTATTCAGCCATAAATAGTTATGAAGAATTGATACGTGCTACAACATGGATGAACCTTGAAAACATGCTCAATGAAAGAAATCAGACACAGAAGATCACATATTGTATCCATCCATTGATATGAAACATCTAGAAAAGGCAAATCTGTAGACACAGCAAGTAGATTAGTGGCTGACCGGCACCAGAGGGAATGGAGCATGACAACTAAGGGTACAGGATTTCTTTGGGGGTACCAAAAATGTTCTGAAATTGGATTGCAAGATGACTGTATAATTCTGTAAATACTAAAAAACACTGAACTGTACACTTTAAATGAATGAAGTTTATATTTTAAATGTCTCTCAATAAAGCTACTAAAAAAATACGATGTAAATAAGAATAATGAACAAGGAATCATAGAAAAGGGTAAACACTAGTTGAGGTCTGATCCCAGCTTAGCCATCAACAATTTGGGGCACCCTGAGGAAGTTACTAGACTCTTGAGTAGCAGTTTCTCAAAAGGTTGTTCTCCAGGATCTCTCTGAACTATATACTACACTGCTGTTTGCCCTCTCTACTGCTTTGTAGTCTACAGCATGAGAAAGAGACAAGTTTCTGCTTTGCAAAGATCACATAAAATTAAAAAATTAATAAATTAAAAAAAAACTAGAACAGAGAATTACCTGCATTTGGCAAATCTTAAGATTTTTTTCAGCATTAAAAGTTTAAAACCATACAAATCCAAGCAGAGAAATTACAGACAATAATAGCTCAGCAAAGACTCTGGATATGGATAGTCTTCGTTCTTCTATTAGCTAGACTTTAGATAAAGCTGCTAACCTACCTGAGTTTTGGTTTCCCCATCCAAAAACAAGACCAGGTAGGTTACATAGGTGTCAGCTGGCTATGAAGTTCTAGCCTATGCACTCCACAAGGTGATGATTCTCACATTTTCATCTCCTTCTTATAAACAAGCAAAACAATGTGACACTACACGTTTTTTCAAGTTGCTCACAGCTAGTAGCTCTATTAGTAGTAAAAACTGAGACAAGTATTTAAACCAATTGGTACTACCTGATCAAACCATACTCTGAAGTTGAACATCGTGGTTAGGATCAACACACAGTCAGGCTGTGTATAAAATCACAACTATCCCCCTGGATTGCTTCAAATTATCACAGTAAAATTTTTCTTGGGCAAAATTCAATCAAATTCTCAATCACAATGAATTGTACTCAATTAAAACTAGGTTTCAGTAAGACCTTGGTATACCTGGTCTAAGCAGGAAACAACAAGACCAGTTTTCTAAGTGAGCTGATACAACATGTCATCATAGTGTATTTTATGCCTCTTATATAGGGGCTTCCTACCAAGGGGAAAGCCAAAATCAGCAGTGAGCTTTTTATGATGATGTGATAAACCTGGAACGGAACGGTAAGGACGCTATTACCAAAAGGCGACCAGCTGGGTGGCTGGGAAGGCAGCCATGCAGGAGAGACTGCAGAGAAAGAAGTGTAGCTTCAGGCTTGTCTTCCTTCACTATTTCCTCCTGCCTTTCATGTTAGCCAAGCCACCTGCCGTGGGGCGAGGTGATAAACAGATGGAGATAATAGTAATATCACCTAGGCAGGCCACAAGGGGAGGGAGAAAGGTGGGTGGAGGAAAGCGCCAGAGGTGCAAAGGGTGGGGAAACCCTGAGGCCACTGAAGAAGACATGCCCAAGGGACTGGCTGGTTGGTACCACTTCTGGTCAGTCAAGGAACCAAAGCACAGCTGTCTTTCTAATGCCCCAGCTCTTTCTGGAAAAGAAAAACACACAAAACTACACACAACTTTTGGGTCTCATGTCCAAGGTCACCACTGAAAAAGTAATTACCTTAGCTACAATCGAGAATTTAAAATAACAAAAGATAAAACATGACCTAGCATAAAGAGTTTAAAACCTAAAATAGCAATTCAAAGCCCAGGCAGGAAAATAAACCAGTGTGGTAATAGGTTTTGAGCAAATCTAAGTTTCATGTTATTTGTTTTTAAATCAATAAAATACAGAAAGCAACAATACATTTCTTCTGATAGGTCTGGTCCAAAGTGCATAAGGGAAAAAGATATACCATTTGGAGACCGCTATTTAAAATGGCCTTTCTGAAAACACTCTTTTCAGCTCTCAGGATCTGAACATTTTCTCAAATAAAACTGTTATTAAACTAAAAGGTCAGTGTTTCAGGATGGGCTACTTTAAGAGAAGCACGGGAAAGGCCAGCTTTGCCTATTAGCACAGTGAGTTTCCAAGCAGATCTTTAGGGACTGGCAAAGTTTGTGAAATGAGAAAAAGTAAAAATGAGAAATTTTCAAGCCATATAAATCAGATTTGCCATGGAAATCTGCAAAACTAGTTCAGACTCAGTAAGTATGGTTCTGACACTGTCACATACATACACACTTTCCTTTCAAAATGTATTAAGACAAAAGGATGACTTCTTCACATATTTGTATACTGTACTTTGTAAAATATTCTCAGAAACCATTTTAATTTTTTCAGTGGCAAATGTATCTTAATGACCACAAACACTGGCATTTTGTCAATTAGTTATAGATGACACGACACTGACCATAAAACATGTGAGAAAAAGTCAAGCATTAAAATTACTTGGTTACAGCAAGTGTGCCCTAGATTCTTTTATTTGAAACTACTATTGAAAATAAATGTTTATATTAAAAGCAGCTCATGATTCCTAACACATTTTTGTTTGTTTTTAGTAAACAACATTCCAAACATGTTTTGGTTAGTCCAAATATTATTCTTCAATGACTGCCTAGAAATCTTTTGTCCCTCTTAGCCACATTCTAAATTCCTAAGAAGTTAAATTCTTAAGAAATTCTAATCTCTAATTTCTAATTAATAGTTTGGGTTCAGAATCAAATAATAAACTCCTAACCTTGTATTACTTGATTCTTAGTACTTGTAGGAACTGTGACTACCATGGTCTTAATCCTCTGAGAAAGCGTAGCATAAATTCATTATACCTCACCTGCCTTCTATGTTACATGACTTAATGTCCAAATTCTGTTTTCAGAAACTGGTTAAACAAGGGGTAGAAATGGGAAGGGGTGGAGGGGACAGAACACTATGATATATTTAAGATAGTTCCTTGATGGTGAACAGAAATGACTCCATAAGATGAAATTACTTTATGAATGCCTCATCATCTATGAAAAAACAAAAGACCAGAAATGAAACCATGACTTCAGACTTACATAGATTCCCTGGACCTTAAGGGACATACCAATTTCCTTTGTACCTTTTCCATCTATGAC